CGATATATTGGCCAATGATTTGGTGGCAAATGTTATCAAAGACGGAAAAGTGGGGACTTATAGACACATAAAACTGCCACAAAATTATGACAAAACAGTTTCCAACGAGTATTTCCTAAACTTGGGTCAAACCCGAGACATATCAGCACTTCAGTGGTATGACTCGAAATGTGTGGCCCCATCTCAGCTAGCATATAGTTTCCTGGGTAATCCTGCAAATAAAGTCAAAATCAACATTTACAGCTCCGGTATTATATTCCATGACGTTCTGGTTGCAACAGGTAAGCCATTTAATATAATATTCAAATTATTGGCTTCAAATGCATTTTTGTCTATTGATAGGCCGTATACCTATGGGACAGGAGGCTTTCGTAACTGACTGTGCGATTGGCACCGAATATGCCGGTCGTCGTGCGGATACGGGTCAGAGGGTTATGGGTATGGAATTGGGCCGATGTTATGCTACTTCTGTATACTCGGCCACTGATGTTTTCACTCACATCCCTGACCACTGGTCTATGGACGACGCCGTCTCCATACTCAGCACTTATAGTACTGTGTTTTATGGATTGATTCAAATGGGGAAATTGAAACAAGGTATTCATTTTATGATACCTTAAATATTATACTTAATTAATTGTTTGGATGAATTAAAAGGGGAGAGTATATTAATTCACTCGGCGGCGGGTGGTGTGGGTCAGGCAGCCCTCAATATATGCAAACACTATAAGTGCGATATCTATGTGACGGTCGGAACCGATGAGAAAAAGGAGTTTTTGATCAAAGAATACAACATTCCTTCGAACAGAATATTCAACTCAAGGGATACTCTCTTCAGGAATCAAATTATGAAACTCACGAACGCAAAGGGAGTGAACGTTGTATTGAATTCATTGACTGGCGATAAACTGATGGCCAGTTACGAGTGTGTGGCCAATCACGGCAGGTTTGTGGAGATGGGACGGTATGATATGGTTCAGGCGACCAAACTGTCAATGTTTGACTTCGCCCGCAATATTGACTTCATAAGTGTTGTGTTGGATCTGTTTATGTTTGAAAACCCAGAATTTGTGCTTGATTTTTATAAATGGCTTCACCAGAATTGCACAAATGGTAGTGTAAAACCTATTAATTGCAATATATTTAGTCCGGATGAAGCAAATACGGCGTTCAGGTATATGACAATTGGTAAACATATGGGAAAAATTGTTATTAAGTTAAGAGATGAAGAGACAAATAGACATCCGATTAAGTCTTACCCAAAACCGTCGATGGATATGATAACGACTGTTAAGACTTATTTCAATCCAAACAAAG